TTCTTTTGTAAGAAGCAATGTTGTTGTTAGGTGCCGTCAAGTTGGGTCTGAGTCATAACGACCCTATGAATTGTGTCATGTAGAGTCACATGTTGTACCATGTAGAGGGTTCCTGAGGCTGTAAATCTGTGTTTGAGCCTCATCTTTCTCATCTCTGCAGAGCTGCTGATTGGCTCAAACCATTGATCTTGTAGTTTGTAGTCCAGTGCTTATCCTACAGAGCCACAGGTCTCCACAAGACACTTGAGAGTAGCTCATATTCCCGGAACTGCTCTATGATTTAGGTCAGAGGCTTGAGAACCTGGCTGAGTGTTTGCATGAAGACAATGGACAGAAGAAAGGCCTGCCAGATGACGCTTGAAACGTCAACCAAATGGGATGACCAGCACACAGTGAAAAAGGATGCTGACCCAGAGTGAGCTTTCCTAAACCCTAGAGCTCCAGGTGGCTGACCCAGCGTGTGGAGAAGAGCCGGCACGGAAGAAATACACACCCATTCCTTAGGATTCAACAGAACCTTTCTACATGAAACACAACTGTTTAAAGAAAAAAGAGGCCGAGAAAACCACAGGAGCACAGTGTGGCTAAATTCATTTTATTAATAGAATCTCGTTCCCATGTCCTTTGAAGGGAAATTGATATTTGATGTTTTGGGTTTCCTCTCTCTTTTTTTTTTTTTTTTTCAATTTCCACCTTACCTACTTCATTTACTAATGTCATAAAGAAAGGCTCAGTTTAGAAATTCAGAGTGTCAGATTTATTTTCTATACATCTTGTCACTTACTATGGATGTTTGTAAACAAATATGTTCCATTCTTTAGGAGACATATGGCTTCTAACTTGTTTGACTTAATAAGGCAACAGAAGTTCTGTGTTCAGTCTGCCTCTCAGGGTTGTATTCTCTGAATAATTTAATGCTCTGAGAGCTGTCTCTTTCAAGGGCAAAGCTCTACTCTCCATCTCCTGTCCTCTCCACCTCCTCTTCCTTTCATCAAGCATGGGGGGGAGTGACTCTTGCAAACAGACCCAGAACAGCTCTCAATCAGAGCAGATAAAGCCCAGTCAGACACCGGCTCCCACACTTGCTTCCTTCCACTTGGAAGAGATCAGAAAGTTGAGTCTATTCTCTAGGTCTAAGACCACTCAGGCCGATTTGAGAACCTGTAGCAATAACTCCAAAGAGAGCATCTCCCTACAAGTGTGGCCCCAGCTTAACCAAAGCTCTCCCTAGGCTGAGTGAGCAGGAGGAGAAGCAGTGGGTCCACTCAGGAATGTCAGGCTGGAAGGGCAGACCACAGGGTGGCTGATGTCTCTGGAATAGACCCCAGGAACGCACTGCAGCTGCCCTTCTTAGCAACCCAGAGCTCCACGAACCAGTCAGTTCACTTCTCTGAGCTTCCTTTGTCATCTGTGAAGGACATGAATAATGCTGATCTTCTGGGCAGGTTTGAAGGAATGAGGTCATATCAGTAAAGCATTCAGAACATCACCTGACACCCGATAAGCAACAGGCCTTCTCCTAGCCCCACGAAAAGGCAGCTGACAAGTGATTACTCAAACTGGGTTGGAGGGGTACTTCTTGGGAACCATCCCAGGGAAGATTGTTCTGAGCAATCTCACAGTTCAACTATGCCCATCATGGAGGAATGAAGACCTCATTTTATAAATTGTTTTCAAAAATTGAAACTATTTTATAAACCACTCAAATATGTACAGATACAGATAGGTAATTGTAACCTGTTGGTGGTGGTGGTATGTTGTCGAGTCCGTTCTGATTCATAGTGACCCTGTATAGGGTTTCCAAGGAGCCACTGGTAGGTTTGAACCACCGACCTAATGTTAGCAGTCCAGTGTTTATCCTACAGCACCACACCAGGACTCCAATTGTAACTTACACCCTTATTTATGGGGCTTGGAGAGAGCTAAGTGATTGGACACACACACACGAATCCTTAGCTCTTGAGTTGATTCTGATGTGATCTCAGGGATGGGGTGGGGCTCAAACGACCCATCTTTAAGTTATCAATCAAACACAAACCATCTGTACTACCCCGGGACTTCATGACAACCTAGAGATCCATAAACCCACTGTATCAATAAATACATCAATGGAGAAAAAAGACTGAAGCTGTCAAAGACTTCGTTTTGCTCAGATCAACCATGAACCCTCATGGAAGCAACAGTCAAGAAATCAAACGGTGTATGATTGCATTAGGCAAATCTGCCGCACAAGACCTTTTGAAAGTGTTGAAGAGCAAAGATGTCAGCTTGAGGACTAACCCAAGCCTGACCCAAGCCATGGTATTTTCAATAACCTCATATGCATGCAAAAGCTGGACAGTGAATAAGGAAGACCGTAGAAAAACTCGATGCTTTTGAGTTATGGTGTTGGAGGAGAATATTGAAAGTGCCATGGGTTGCCAAAAGAACCAATAGATCTGTGTTGGAAGAAGTGCAGCCAGAGTGCTCCTTGGAGGCCAGGATGGTGAGACTTTGTCTCTCATGCTTTAGACATATTATGAAGAGGGAGCAGTCTCAGAGAAGGACTTGGTAAAGTGAGGGGTCAATTAAAAAGAAGAAGACCCCAACAAGATGAATTGGCCCAGTGGCAGCAACAGTGGGCTCAAGAGTAGCAACAGTTGTGAGGCTGGTGTGGGACTGGGTGATGTTTCTCTCTGCTGTCCATAGGGTCACTCCAGGCCAGAACCGACTCTATGGCACCTCACGACAGTAACAACTATCTTAGTAGAGATGGTAAGAAGTTAGAAACAGGAGAAGTACTGAGAAAATAACACTCCTCCTTCAAAAAAGCTTCTAGTATAAACTGACATCAGTTTTCATTGTAATTTAACATTGTTTTACACATTTATTTGCTTGTTTTAAATGCCTTCAATGCTGAGCTTAGATTGGGGCTCATTGTTGTTAAGGATCATCAAGTCTGTTCCAACTCATAGCGATCCTCTATAGGGTTTTGGAGGCATGTAAATCTTTCTGGGAGCAGAAAGTCTCATTCTTCTCCAACAGAGCAGCTGATGGGCTCATACCACCAACCCTGCGGTTATCAGTCCAGTGCTTATCCTACAGAACCATGGTGTTCATAGTCACATAAAATGGCTGGCACCATTCCTATGAATTCTGGTGTTGTTTCAGTCTCTTGCTTTCTTTCTAAGGCAAATGTTATGCCATTTTGGTCTTCCTATTCATGACAAGAGAAAAATCATTGTTGTTGTTAGGTGTCCTCAGTTCAGTTCCAATTCATGGTGACTCAGTGGACAACACTGCCCAACCTGGCCCCATCCTCACAACCGTTGCTGTGTTTGAACACCTGGTTGCAGCCACTGTGTCAGCCCATCTCATTGAGGGCCTTTCCCCCTTTTGCTGACCCTCTACTTTATCTAGCAAGATCTCCTTCTCCAGAGAGTGGTCCCTCCTGATACAATGCCCAAATTATGAGACAGAAAATCTCTCAATCCTCACTTCTAAGGAGCACTGTGGTTACACTTCTTCCAAAACAGATTTGTTCATTTTTCTGGCAGTTCATGGGATATTCAATATTCTTCACCAACACCACAGTAAAGCCATGATTTGCAGTTGCTTTCCCTTTTAGTATGGATTTAGGGTCAATGGCTGTGTTTTGTGTGGCTCTGAAATGCACAGTGTGTATAACAGAATAAGAGGGAAAGCGAAAGGGACCTCAAGTCATGGTCGACTCGTTGTGAAGAGAAGCTTGCCCATGCTGTGGTCCCACCAGCCTTCCAGTAACCCCAGCATCTCAACACACACCTGACTGATCTCCCCGGGCAGCACGGCATGGCCACCATTGTACTTGGCTGGGCAAGAGTGCCTTTCTAGTCACATCAAGGGCAAGATTTAATGGTCTGATGTGAAAATCTCATGCACGACCCAACCTAGAGTTACATGGTGTCTTAGTTTCCTAGGGATGATGTGACACAATATGACAACGTGAGTGTCATTAAAGACCATCCTGGAGTCTAGGAGTCTGAACTGGTGTGATTAGGACACTGTTTTTCTCTGCTGGCTCTAGGGAGAGACTCTTCCTTGTCTCTTTTAGCTTCATTGGCCCTGGGTGTTTCTTGGCATCCATTGGCCTGTAGACAGATCCTCACATGAGGAGCCTTTCTGTTTGACTGATGTCATGTCCATCTCTCTCTCATAAAGAGAACAACTCGATCCCTCTCTACTCTGGCATGACCTCCTTAACTTAGCAGGTACCCTCTACAAAGAAAGCCCCTATTCCTCAGAGTCCCAGTTACAGGTACAGGAGAGTTAGGACTTTAGCGTATCTTCTCAGGGGACACGATTCAGACCACAAGACACAGCCGAGGCAAAGTGGGATGCAATAATTCCAACACATGAAAAAGTAAACATGTAATACCCCAAACATGCAAAAAGCTCTTGGCGATAAATGAAAGATAAACAAGCCAAATAGAAGCAGAGAATCCAAAGAAGAAAAGATAAGAAGAGATGATCAGGCTTGTGAATGATTGCTGTGGTGTTATGAAGTCATTTCCAACTCACAGTGACCCTGTGCACAACAGAACAGAACACTGCCCAGTCCTACACAAACCTCACAATTGTTGCTCCGCTTGAGTTTATTGCTGTTGCCACTGTACCATTCCATCTCGTTGGGGGTCTCCCTCTTTTTCATTGACCCTCCACTTTACCAAGCATGATGTCCTTCTCCAGGGACTGGTCCCTTCTGATAATGTGTCTGGAGTAATAATTAAATAATGTAATTCAAACCACAATGGAGGAGGATCACTTAAGGCATTCCCAGGAATCTGGCATTCGTGTTTCCCCTCGATGTGAAGGCAAACAGGCTCACTGTTTTGAAAGATAATATAACAGTTTTATTAATATTAAATTGCCTTCCATTCAACCCCTAAACTCAGCTTCTAGGAAACTATCCCATAAAAATAACAACACAGATGTTGTTGAAATACTAAAAGATTGTAAGTCATCTAAATGTTCATGGGTAGGAGAATTGAATGCTGTGGAGTGTTTGATAGACGGAAATGTGTATTCTAACTTGGTAAAAAGAAGCCCAGTTTTGTCATATAAAGCATGCAGGCGTGCACACAAACCACACTGCAGAACAAAATGAGCTCAACTCTATTTGTCTCTGACACATGCTATTTGTGTCTATGTGTGAAAACATGCATGTATTTTCTAGTAAATGCATCAGGGAGAGACTGGATGAGCAGAGACTGAACTGTAAAGTTAACTCTCTTTGGACGTGGAGGAGACTGGTAGGGTGAGAGACCTGTATTTCAGTCCGAATGTGCCCAACGATGCTTATGTTTACTATGATGGTAATGCACTCAACTCCAGCAGCACGTGTCAAGCACTGTCTCATTAGCGCCTTGGTTAGGTCTGTCACCTTGGGCTGTGATGGTTGACCTTGAGATGGGTACTAGAACCAGCACATGGGCCATCTGTGGAACACTTGGAGGCCCTCTCGATAATTCCTTCTATTTCTGGTCATTTTACAAAACTAGTTTCTGTGACATTTTCTTTTTCACCTAGCCTTGAACCTGAGATTGTCTTCTGTATTTATGAGGGCATTTACAACAGGAACAGAGCAAGCGTAGTTGAGACTGGTGGCGAGGATTCTCCCAGTCTGTCTGCCACACATTGCTTCAAGCTTCACCTTTTTTCCACACATCCTCAATTCAATTAAAATATTGCATAGACAACACCAGCAAAGGAATCCGAAAGGGCACTGTAGAGGTGAAAATAAAATAACTTCACATAAACTATTCCAGTTATGAGTGAATATATTTAGATTTTGTTAAAATAAAAACCAAGGCTAATTATCAACAGCACAATGGCACAGAGCAAGCAGGGAGACGAGGTGGAGGAGGCAGGGTAATTCATTTGTAGTAGCATTGCATATTATTTGTTGTCTCTCTCCACTCGGAGCGTGGGCGACCATTGACACAGGACAAGTGAGCTCATCTATGCCTCAACAGGTAATGTGGTAGGGCTCGATCCTGGATGCCTGTCTGGACAACCTGGAGAACTCCTCTTGAAGCCCTCAGCCTCTCCTCATCCCTACTTCTTAATCTCCACATGACTGAGAACGTACTAAAACAACAACAACAAATCCAGCAACCTTTGAGTTGGCTCTGACTCACAGCGACCCCATGAATGTCAGAGTAGGGCACTGTGGCGTTTTCAGTGGCAGGTTTTGGGGAAGTGGATAGCCAGACTTTTCGTCAATCCACTGCTAAGACATTCCATTAGCACCATGTTGACTGGTTTTCAGAAACTTCAACCATAATGAAATGTAAACAGTTAAATAAATGCTTGGCTGCTGACAAAAACGTTGGTGGTTCTGGTTTTCCAGAAGTGTTTCAGGACTTGTCCTGTTTACAGCTTGTCCCCAGCACCGCCTGTACCTGGTGGGTCCTCAATGGACAGGTGTTGAATGAAGACTCTTCAGATCACCTTGTGGCTAGATAGCCTCGTTTAGAGCAGTCTGTATTATTTTCTGTGCTGTGGAATCAGGCAAGTTATGACATTTCAATTATAAAAGATGTGACCATACAAAGGAACCTATATGGACTCTTTGTAATGCGCTCAGAGAAAGAACTCAGTATCTGGAGAGCTGTTGGTGGCAGTCTTGTCAATTGGAGTCCATGTGGCATTGTGGGTGAAGACGATACCAGACCACTAATCTCAAGGTTGGCAGTTCAAATCCCACAAGCCAGTCTTTGCTAGAAAGATGCAAGTTATCTGTTCCCGTAAAGATTTACAGTCTTGGAAACCCTATGTGGGGTCACTATGGGTCAGAATCATCCCCATGACAATGGGTTTGGGTTTCTTTGGTCTTGTTTTGGTTTCATTGGGACATTTGAAACACCATATACTCCTAACCAGAAAGCTCCCTTGTATTTCCAAGAATATATTTGTTGTTGTTGAGTGCCTTCGAGTCAGCTCCAACTCATAGTGACCCTGTATAGAGTTTCAGAGGAGCAGCTGATGGGAATGCACTGCTGACCTTATGGTTAGCAGCCCAGTGTTATTCCTATAGTGTCACACCAGACGTCCCATCGAAGGTATGTTGTTGTTGTTGTTGTTAAGTGCCGTCGAGTCGATTCCGACCCATAGCGACCCTGTACAGGGTTTCCGAGGGTGTAAATCTTTATGGAAGTAGAAAGCCTCATCTTTCTCCCGCGGAGCGGCTGGTAGTTTCGAACCGCTGACCTTAAGGTTCACAGCCCGATTCGTAACCACTATGCTACCAGAGCGTATAGTAACCACTACGCTACCAGATTTGTATAGTAAAACCCAAATCCAGTCTGAGGACCAACCTTGAATTAACAGCTCCTGTCCGAGCATCAAGTCTCGTGTTTGGCCGGATGTATGGATCCTAGCATGTCTCACTTACTCTCATAACCAGTTCATAATCTGAAGCTTAGAACAGGTGCCTGTACTGCTCTATTTCCCTTTTTTTTAACATTTCTTTGTTCCTTGATTGTGATTTATCATTGTTTAAAGAGCTCTGAACTTTCCAATTTCCAAAAGATTTCTGCATTTGAAGCATAATTGTTCTAAAATACTATACAATTGTTGAGATCATCTGAAGATCATGATTACATAGACTCAGAAAACGCCACTTGAAACTGGGTGAAATTGAGGTATTAGAGGAAAAGCTTAATCCCCAGAATATTAATCCAAGCTTTCTTTGGAACAAGGAGCCGGGCTGAGACATTGGCCTCCTTTGTAAATGCATTTAAACATCCTCCACAAGAATTATAATTTAGTTCTAGTCAGGAGTAGCTGAGCAAGAGAAAACTTGATTACTCAGAGGCACTAAGTAGATTAGGGAAAGAAATAGAAATCCCTTCAACCAGGGACCGCTCTGTGGCCCAGCTGTGCAAGGCCTCGTGTTCTGGTCTAAATTGATAGGTCCTGTGATGGATGTCTATCATGGGTGAAATGAATTTACGATGCCTTTGCCGTTTCTCTGGTGTCTAGATGCAGCTTGGTAAAAATAATAAAAATAATAATAATAATGAGCCACAGTCATAGAAGTTTTCTAACTTAATTTACTGCTGAAATGGAATGTAACTCCTGGTGTGGCACTATAGGATCAGCACTGGACTAGGAACCACGAGGTCAGCAATTCAAACCCACCAACTGCTCCTTGGAAACCCTGGACAGGGTTGCTAGGAGTTGGAAGCAACTCAACAACACTTCGCAACAACAAAATGGAACAGGAAGTGGTGAGTGTGGCAGCGCAGACTCCTGGGGTCTTAAGATGCTGGCAGGTTGTTTACAAGAATTGGGAGAAGGCTCACATGCCACACGTCACCAGAATAATCACACTCACTGTCTCAGAGCATATGGAACCCAAACCGAACCTATGTTATACATACAACTACCAAATAGACAAGTTTGTTGTTGTTAAGCGCTGTTTAGTCGGTTCTGACTTATAGCAAACTTGTATAGGGTTTCCAAGGAATAGCTGGTGGGTTTGAACTGCCGACCTTGTGGTCCCCAGTCCAGTGCTGATCCTACAGTGCCACAATTTTCAACTAAGTATAGATTTCTCATCCATTTTTCTATCTCATTGGAAGCTATTTTGTGCCCAGATCAGCAAGGTCCCAGAATACTCTTAGGTATGTTTTAAGAATTCATAATTTTTTTAAATGACAGAATTTGATAAATTTTATATCATGTTATGTTGTCAGAAACATAGATGATGGTGGTTATGTGCTGTGAATGTGGTTCTGACTGTGGTAGTGACCCTGTATAGGGTTGCCGAGGCTGTAAATCTTTACGGGAGCAGAAAGTCTCATCTTTCTCCTATGATATGGTTAATAGTTTCAAACTGCTGACCTTGATGTTAGCAGCCTGACTCACAACCACTGCACCGCCAGAGCTCCTTAGAAACATAGAAATATAGATGGTATATTTTAAATGTGCAATATAAGAGAAATCTAAAAGATCTAAAGATACTTCAAAGTACTCTGAAAACCATCTAAAATCCATATATAATTCTGGCAACTTCATCAGTTGTTTATGAAAATTAAATGTGTTTAAGTTTATACAATGAAACTCCTGGTGTAACATTGTAGGATAAGCATTAGACTGCAAACTACAAGGTTGGTGGTTCAAACCCACCAGCTGTTCCTTGGAAACACTGTACAGGGTTGTTGTAAGTCGGAATCGACTCGATGGCACTTAACAAGTTAATAGAAGAGCCCTGGTGTGACACTGTAGGATAAGCACTAGACTGCTAACCACAAGGTTGGCAGCTCGAACCCACCAGCCACTCCTTGTGAAGCCTGTATTGTTGTTGTTATGTGCCGTGGGGTCAGTTCTGACTCATAGCGACCCTGTACAGGGTTTCCAAGGCTGCAAATCTTTACAAGAGCAGAAAGCCTCATCTTTCTCCCATGGAACAGCTAGTAGTTTCAAACTGCTAACCTTAAGATTCGCAGCCTGATTCATAACCACTACGCTATCAGAGCTTCTTACAGCTCTTTATAGGATTTCTGAAACTGTAAATCTTTATGGGAGCAGAAAACCTCATGTTTCTTTCATGCAGCGACTGGTAGATTCGAACTGCGGACCTTGCAGTTAGCAGCCCAACTTGTAATCCTCTAAGCTACCAGGACTTCTGACTTGCATAGTTGTCAATACTAAGTGCTTATTGAAATAAAAACAAAACAAAAAAACACAAAAATCTAGAAGGAGTGGATCATCCCAAGAAACGAATGAACAGGAGAAAGATGCAAGCATTAGCCTGGATCCAGGATCAGCATTCTCCTCAGAAGAAAACTATACATAATGTGTCTCTGATAGCTCCTAGAAAGGTCTGTTGTTGTCCCTGTTGTTGGGTGCCATCGAGTTGGCTCCAACTCACGGTGACTCTGTGTTCACCAGAATGGAACACTGCCTGCTCCTCCGCCATCCTCACGAGTGCTGTTACATTTGAGCCCATTGTTGCTGTCTCTGTGCCAGCCCATCTCGGTGAAGGTCTTTCTCTTTTTTGCCGACTTTCTACCTAGAAACACAGTGAAACAAAATAACTAAAAGGAGAAAGTCAAAGGACAAGATAAACAATGTCTTAGTTTTCTTTTTTTTTTTTTAAGGAAACAGTGGACAATAGGGTAGTGCATACAGTTTAAACAGAATCATAAAGTTACTTGGCTCTATGTAAATCTTGATGATCTCGTTGGGATGAAGGGTAGCTGTATTCCACAACTTACGCTAGCACAGTTAACAAAGAAAAGTGGGTCTTATATCCAGTTTACCTCTGACTGTCCATAGAGCCCACCCTTACCAGGGGTCTCCCAGACTCAACCCCTACATCCCCCCCACCTCTGCTTTTCTTCCTCCCATGACCCTCAGGTGAAGACAGTATATAACTTCTGCTCTGTTTTCTTTAGTCCAGTGTCATTTCTCTTTCTTTGATTTTTTCATGTTCTCTTCTCATCACCATGGTGGCTCCGGAAACTAAGAGATGGACCAATACATGAGTCTGTTATTAGATAGACCATGGTTCGAATGCAGCAGCCACTCCCCAGGAGGAAGATGCAGCAATCTGGGGCAGTATAGAAACGCTATGGAGAAGTTCTACTCTTCTCTGTAGGTTCACCAGGTGTCCAAGTCGGCTCAGTGGCATTGGGTTGGGTTGGGTTTGGGTTTACTCTCAACTCGCATAACAACTGCTAACCCATCTACAAAGGTATCTGCCGATCACACACCTCCACCACAACTACATCACTCTCCCAACGCTGTATTCAAAGTTTCTCCCACCTGCCTTTGCAGCATCCATCCCCCACACCTGTGACCTCACCCTGCACCCCTGCAGGATGGCACCCACACCCATAGCAGTTCTGCCCAGCCCCACGATGGGTGCAACTCCAGACACCTCCTGGAGCCAAAAACAGTGAGGTGGGCCGTGTATCTAGTGTCCTCACTTAGAATCAGGACGTGCCTCCCTCTCAGTCAGGCAGCTCTGGTGGCGCTGTGGATTAGGGGCTAAGCTGCTAAATGCAAGGTCGTTGGTTCAAACCCACCAGCTGCTCCTTGGGAGAAGTATGAGGCTGTCTGCCCCCATAAAGATTTACATTCTCAGAAGTCCTGTACATGACTGCTATGACTCAGAACCAACTCCATAGCAGTGGGCTTGGGGTTTGGGGTTTTCTCATGAACTCTTATGGAGACAAGACATGTGAACTTGTTATTAGCGATATGAAACCCTACGCAAGTGTAATGTAAAATGAGGACTTGACGTTTTTGAAAACATCAAGATCCCTGGTGGTCCAGTGGTAAAGTGCTCAGCTGCTAACTAAAAGGTTGTCACTTTGAACCCACCTAGCTGTACCTCGGGAGAAAGGTCTGGTGATCCGGTCCCATAGAGACTGCAGCCTAGAAAGTGGACCCGGGGGAGCTCAGCACCGTCAGGTGGGGTTGTTATGGGTTGGACGTGGATTGGCTGACACTTCATACCAACAACAGCAAGCCACTACCTTACACACCCCTCCCCTACACAACATTCTGTACGTGGTATGTAATCAAGAATGACTTGTTGTGTTGAAAATTTTGCTTTAACTTATTGCTGTGGTTTTATCTTGTTGTTAAATGCCACTTGTGGAATTGGTTTCGACTCATAGCAACTCTGCATAGGCTTCCCAAGGCTTTAAATATTTTTGTGGGAACACAAAGCCTCCTCTTTCCCCTGAAAAGCTTGGTTTCATCATGGTGGTGGTGGTG